GACCTAGCCGAGCTGGACCGGCCGTTCACTGAAGATGAGGTGCGGGCGGCAGTATCGGATATGCCGTCTGATAGAGCACCGGGCCCCGATGGCTTCACCGGCATCTTCTACAAGTCGGCATGGCCGGTGATCAAGAACGACGTCATCGCCGCGCTGAACGCTCTATTCTTCGCAGACAGCCGGTCATTTCATAAACTGAACAACGCCGCCTTCGTGGTGCTGCTGCCCAAAAAGCCCGACGCTTCGTCACCGGCCGACTACCGCCCGATCACAAATTCACAATGATCTATTGTTAAATCATGGACTAATTAGGCTTAAAAGATTTGTCTCACAAAGTAGTCGCAACCTGTACAATTAGTTATTTTTTAGTCTAAATTTAATACTCCGTGCATGTGTCCAAACATTAATGGGATAGGGTATAAAGTTTTTGAGCAGGGAACTAAACAAGGGCTTGGTTATAGATTTATTTAGGTTTATGCTTATTAAATATAAATAAATTTATAACTAAGCTATACATGATCCAATGAATATAATTTTTTTACAACAGTTGAAGCATATAATAATTAGTCCACCATAAAAAAAATTCACCACAATTGGACCATAGCAACTGCAGCTATGAATTATTCAAATTAATTATAGAAAAACACAGATCTAAAGATATGGTAAAAACTTTGTACTAAAGCATACCATATTATATGTTCACTGTGTAGATCTACTCATGTAGAGTTCAACAAAATTAATTTTTCTATTTTATGATTTTTCTGTGATTTACTATGATTTTCAAAGATTCAGTCGAAATAAATAAAAAAGATAAAGATAAAATTACCTTCAAAACCGCTTATAACAGGACCGGGGCCGGGGAGGTAAGATGAACAGTTTTAAAGGTTGGAGACATGTTTTGCCCGATTTTGGAGTTCAGGTACGAAAAGTGGACTTTCGTGAAAGTTGAGGGATGCAATGTAGACTTTTTCCTAAATATTAATGCATGCATACATATACTCCGTATTAAATATTAATGCATACGTCCTTATGCATACATACTCCTTTAAAAAAAGTATGAATAAATACTCCTTCCAAGAAAAAAAATGCGTATATACTCCTCTTCAAAAAGTATGAATATGTACTCCTTATATTAAAAAAGTATGTGTATATACTCTTCTACACATGTATATCCGCAACAAACCAGATATGCTATTTTATTGGTTCAATTCGTTACAAATATGTACTACGTACGTATGCATGGCGAGAATCACGCTGCAGTGCACGTATATGCTATTTTATTGGTTCAATTCGTTACTAATTAATTGGTTACTTAGGCTTCAAAAAAAATTAATTGGTTACTTACGTGTGGTTAAGTGGATAGTCCGCATCTTTCAAAGAAACGGATCCTCAGTATGTGTCCCCAAGCCCGCTAGGGACGTTGACAGTACAAAACAGGAAGGGAGTAGATACTCCCGGGAGTGGGAAAACTCACCCAAAGTAATAATATAAAATTTAATATTTTTTCTAATAATTCATACATATAATTAAGGAATAAATAGAATAAAATATGCTAAATGTATCTCGGTTACACTTATCACCGATGAACAATAAAACTAAATGACTATTTGAACTTAAAAAAAAACTAAATGACTATATTAGTGAGTTAAATAAAAGTAGAAATAATTAGTTATTTATATTACATTAAATAGTTATTTTTTGCATACTAATCATGTATGAGAAAATATTCACACTGTCGACACAACATTTTAGATTTTTAATACATAGGATTAGTATACCACTGGGACAGATCTCTGTATTATTTTATTAGAGAGGAGAAAGAGACAAGTATACTTCTAGCTGTTCTTGTAACAAATTTCACATGGAAGAATTTAAAGATGTCCACTTGATTCGTTAAAGAGAAAAGCACTTCTATCTTGTTTAAATTAATATTAGGTTAATGATATAAATATATACTATATCGGTATCTCTGTTAGATTTAATCTGATAGACAATATGTTGGGCAATATTCAAAAGAAAAAAAAAGATAAGCTAAAACTTAATGGAGCTGACCTAAAATAATAGAAATGATTAGACAAGAATATCAAAACAAATTGTTAGTAATGGAAAGCGTGATGATTAACGTCAACTTGATACCAGGCAAGGTCTCTCCGAAGCCAGGCAGTCATTTTCGGTCGCCTGGGCAAGCGAGCTGGTTGCCTGGTCCAGGCTGAAGAACAGGGCTCCAACCAAACGCTGAACAGGCAAGTTCCAGGCTCCCTCCAGACCAGGCAATTATATCCAGGACGTGAAAGCCCAGGGAATAGCTTCGAGGTTGGAACGGACGCCGTCCCTCTCTCTGTCCCTCAGCTTGGCCGCTCTGGCCTCGGCGTTTGTTTGGCCCGCGACCAGAACGTCTGGACGCCGGCGCGACCGCGGGAGTGTGGGGCGAATCTATAGTATGTTGTCGGGGTCGGCTGACCCCGATGACTTCCGAGAAGCTCCTGGTTCGTTTTCTGGCCAGCTACGACCCCAGTAAAATTGAAATCCGAACCTGGCAGGCCAGCTCACAACTCACAAAAGAAAAGCCCACAAAAAGTCACCAACAGGCTAGAAGCCCAAAATTCTAGCGTGAACAACTGCTGGCATCCTTGTAGATCGATCGACGCTACAGACTCATCGCCTACGACGCCCTTTCAGCTTACTAGTTCGTTCATCAATCTCTGCCTGCGGCAACAAGGCGGCCGCGCCTCATGGCCACGAACTGACGGCTGGCACTGTGGGGCATCTGTTCGAGCCTACAAGCTTGTAGTGAGGTACACCAAATTAATCCGCAAACTTGTAATTGTTGGATTAATCTATCCGTTCTTCTGTAATTCCCTTTAAAAACCTAGCCGCGTGCCCTATTGGCTTGCGACTCCTACGAGGTATTGATGTCTAATGTCTTCGATTTGTTTTTGTTTTATCTCAGTTGTTTGAGAATTGAGATAATCGGAATTCAGAAGCAAACGTGTCATAGTAGTTCCGTCCATAGAAAGAGCTTTCTTCACTTCATTCGCTGTAATTTCAGGTAAGAAAGTTAGTGATTTCTAGTCATATAGGTGTCGCGGCTTGCACATTATTCATTATGTGCTTTAGTTTTTAATTGTGTTAACTAATTTTATAGGCAATCAAAGGTCAAAGCACACTAGAACGCTTCTAGTTACAGTAAGAGGTAACCACCATCGTAAAAAATTTATTGTCTCCAATTTATGGTATTGCTAATTTTATTCCTTTACGAATGCTTCATTTTGCAATTTGCCGTCGTTATTAATATTTATGTATGTTATGCATGGTGTTAGATTACTATACAAATGCTTAATTTTGCGGTGTGTCATCGTTATTAATATTTATGTTATGCATGGTGTGTTAGAAGTTTAGGTCATGAGTCTTTGCCGATTCCGGCGGTAATTTCTCCTAGATTCGCCACCGGAGTGTGGTTGGACATGGACGATTCGTCTCGGCTCTGCTCGGAGGAAGACGACGAGGCCGGGCCGATCCTCATGCTCGTGTGGAGCCTCCGCTCGACGCCACTCACCCTGTCAGACCTGAATTTCTGACAAGGACCGATCGAGCCAACTGTCGGTCTCCTGGCTCGAAAATCCGCTCAGGATTTGTCTTTCCTCGCGTTGCACTTGCTTAATTGCTTTTGGTTGGCAGCACGCAGCAGGCAGGAGCGATGATTTTGGTGGTTGGACACTCCTGCGTGGAAAGCGCTCGTTCCGGGATCGCGTAATTCGATGAGAGTGGGAGAGATTATCAAATGTCAAGGAATGACAAAATACATAAACCAATTTTTGGTAATGCGTATGCTTGCAGTCAATTTGAATTTTGTCGGTTGCATAATAATTCACTAAACTCCTGGAGATGGGTATAGGCCTCTTCTCCAACGTGCCACCATGGCTTGCAGTCCCAACCTCCACCTCTGCACTGATCATCCATGTCATCTCGAATAGCGGCTCCACAGCATCACAGAGCGTCTTGTAGAAGGTGTGGATGCTTCGACTGACAAATGGTGCAAGCCACTGCTTTTGAAAGAAAAGCTAAGACAGACTGGGAGAGAGCAAAGGCTGACGAGCTAGCAGGTGTCCGTGTAGAGAGAGAGACAAATAATGAGATAGCAATAGCAACAAATAAAGGCTCCGTTCGCGTGTCCTTAAATCCGACTTAATTCGCTTCTTTTTTTATCCGAAACAATATTTTTTTCTCATAAATTCCTCCAAATTCCTTCAGAATTTCCCCAAGCGAACAGGGCCAAAGTGATTAGCCTGCAATGTTGAGAAGAGAACTTCAACCATTTTTTATCTACATGGCGGCTAACTTTTGATCGAGGCCACTAGCACTGCTGCCTGCATAGGGGCTGCCCTTGCGAGCGATATTTTGCGTGTGAAGGACGGCGGAATAAAGCGATACGAAATAAAGCACTATTATTTAAGAAGAGATGAAGGCAAATAAAGTAATTTTTTATTGGAGCATGAAAAGCCTTTTATCTGATTTAGGCCCATGGGTTATCTAGTGGTACACACCAACCCATGGGCTCCCACGCCTCCCAGACCTATCAGGCCCAACAATCCGCCCCAGCGCAACGTGAACACAATGGTCAGCGACAGTCAAACACCGGCCCGAATGACCGACACCCGCAGAAAACCCGAAAAGTCCACCACACCCAGACGGTCCAGCCGTGGCCGCAACCAACCCAACCCACGGCCGCCGCACCGGAGCGGAAGAACCCACCACCCTACGTCGCCGCGGCAGTCGGCGCGGGCAGGGATAATGGTGGGTGGTGGCGATCTCGATGTACCGCGGCAACCTCCACATTGGCGGTCACGACAGCGGCGCCCCTGCCCCGTGCCGGTGGGAGGCGCCCCGGCGGTCGCTCGGCGCGAAGCGGTTCCGCCGCCTCGTGCGCAACCGCTCCCGCGCCGTCGCGCGCCTCGCTGGGACGCCACCGCGGCAGGTCTCCACGACCTCCTCGGATATGAATGGCGGTCAGCGCGCCGCGGACCCCGACCGGGAGGGCACCGGATGAGGAGGAAGCGGACGACGGGGGAGAAAAGGAGCAGGGACAGATGCAGCAGGACCAGGACCAGGACCAGGTACATCAGGAGGAACAGGGGAATGGGGAGGCGGAGCAACAGCAACAGGAGCAGCAGCAGGAGGAAGAGGAGGAGCAGGAGGAGGGGGCGGTGGAGGACGCGGTGATGGAAGATGCGGGGGAGGTAGTTGTTGAAGGGGATGGTAATGGCGATGCGGAAGAAGGTCAGGGTGAAAGTGAAGGTGTTGACCCAATCCAGGAGGAGGTGAGGGCCGTCCGAATTCTTCATTACCACTTCGCTATCAGTTCGTTGTTTGATGATTGGTATCTGCGTGCAATTGCTTTGGGACCGTGCCACTGCTAACTGCTAATAGCGATCGGAAATTTGGGGAACTGTGTAGATAGTGAGATTGTATATTGCAAGTTAAGCCGGAAAGAAATTAAGTGTTGCAGTTCCTAGGACTGTAGGAGGATATTGATGGATGTGAAGAAGAGTTAGGTTCCTCGAAGGAATTGATGACAATAATGTGTTCTGAAAATAGATTCTATAATTTGGCATCTGCATACATGTTCAATCTGGCAAAAAAATAAAAATGGCAGCTATTTCCATCTTGCAGTGAAAAATGAAGCTTCTGAGATAGATTAATCAGCACTAAACATTGTAGTTGCCCAAAAGAGGATTATGTTCTTCTGTTAGGAACTTGGAATACTTGATTGCTACTGAACACAAATTTAGCCAAGGCTGTTGTATTACTTGGAGACTTTCTCTCGTGCTTTTCGAAGGCATAAGTACTTGAGTAGAACCAAGTAAGGTTGCATATTGCTTGCATCTGAATAGGTGTCTAAACATTTGACCTTTATGCTTTGTTTTTGTTATGTTGCATGTTCTATTTATCTACGTGGCTTTATTGAAACAACCACTGTTTTACATTTTTTCCAGGTGAGTTATCCTGATGGAATTGACGAGAATAAGAGAAAGCTTAATGAAAAGCTGGATGTCCTAAATAAAAAGAAGCATGGTCTTGTGCAGATGCTGAAGCAGGTATCTAATTGTGCCATTATTTATATTTCTGGTTGATTTGTGTGTGGTTATAGTTTATAACAAATGAGTATTTGCTGCATATTCATCTGCTGAATAAGTACTGGGCTATGTCAGATGGCACCCAATCTTTGAGTGATGATCAATTTGGTAACATATTGGTCTGAATGGATTTAATTAAACAATAATAACCTTTCAGTTCCAAATATCAGTTGACCCCAAATAAAGCATAGCTCAACCTGTGTTGTTCTGGAACTTCGCGATTAGTTGTAGGAAAAATTTGCTGCAAACTAGGACGAGTTGCATATATACCCATTGGAAATGAAATGTGCAAAGGTAAGTTAGTCTGTATGATGTATGAGTATAGGTTATAATAGTCTGGCCAGTTTTTAATCATTGTGTCAGCATATGCCATTGCATCCAGGTGCTTCACAGCATGATTGCACATTTCAAGTAACTTCCAATGTGCATGGGGCCTTGAATTGCTTTAGCATAATGTCACTACTAAAGTTTTGGTATCTACTTCCTCTAAACCTAAATATAGGTCTATCTATGTTTGTTCTAAGTCAAACCTTTTCACCTTTTGAGGGCACAAAAGTGACATTGATAGATTCATTGTGCCAAAAAATACTTTCACAATATATACTAATTTCATTTTAATTTTAAATATTATTGTTATAGATAGCACAAAACTGCTCGCTTAAAAAAAAAAAAAAAAAAAAAAAAAAGATAGCACAAAACTGACTTAGGGAAGACCTAGATGGACTTATATTTGTGATCTCAGGAAGTATCTCCTATATTCAAATAAATATTATACTTGTCGTTTTGTCCCTCATCCCATTATTTAGAAGGAATAAATAGCAGCATATGTATGCACTGTTATTTGGTTGGTTTGCTGCTTTCTTTTATTCTGATTGAGAACTTCATTGTCAGGGTACTAAACACCATTGTTTTGGCTGTTTGAATAGATCTTAGATGCTGAAGAAGAAATCCGAAGGCGTAGCATGCAGGCTTCATTGCGTGCTGCGATGCCTCAGCCATCAGAAAATGCAACAGATGGAAGTTCTGTTTCTAGATTGGCCCCTAGAATGACTGTTGATGTCAATTTTGGTGATGTTGCTGGCGATTCAGATGCTGGTTCCAACCAGGGCACTCCTGGACGCCCCTTGCATCACTTCCACAGTATCTCTCCTTCAACAGCCTCTTTTGCGAGGTCACCGTTTGGTTCTCTACAGGTAAGCTGCTCGAATGCTCATTCAATAGTCTTGTTGCAAGTCCATATCTACTTTTGTCTGTGTTACATGTTTTGGCAAGTGTTTAAATGGTACTCTGTTATGTGGCCAGTTGGGATGGAGATGAGAGGGCGTGCTACAGTACCGTGGAGCTACAGTGTCCGCGGCCATGGGGTACTGTTCACAGCGGCTGCTTGCTAGGGCTGCAAGGCTGGCCCTAAGCAAGCGACTAATTAACTCTAATGGGCATGATAGGCCCAGCCCTGCCCGGCCGGCAAGAAGAAGGATTTCCTTCTAATCTCTTGCTTGATTAGATTGATACATCTCCTCTCATTATATAGAGAGGTCTGATGGCCCAAAATCAGCGACTAATAACTCTAATGGGCTAAGGCCCAATAGGCCCTTGACTCCTCTAACAGCTGATACACTTAAGTAGTAACTTGGACATGCTTTCAATGCCGCCCAGTTTGCTTATATACCCTTTCTGACTTTCTTTGTTATGGTTGGTTCCCAAATCAGCTGGTAACTTAAGTAGTAAATAAAGACGATTATTTAAATGCTGCCCAGCTTGACTTATATACCATTTCTGACTTTCTTTGTTGGGTTGGTTTTAGTATTCTCACATTGCTAAAGCACCACATCTAATGTTACAGGGCCACACTCCAAGGAGTCCGACAACATTCTCTACGGCAAGTCCATCACGCTTCGCCACAAATATACACCAAGGACAACCTCCTGCTCTTTATTCAGCATCATTGCCAGGAAGTAACTATGTAGCCTCATCACCTTCCCCGGCCGCATCTGGTGGTTCTTCCTCGGTGTTCAGGGACCTCGCCCACCTAACTCTACATAGGTTCTATGCATTGTTCGTAGTTCGACTGCCGTGTGGGTGTTATTATTGGCAATGTTGCTAAAATCTCTTAGCTACCCAGGGATTTAGGTAATGTTGTGCTTCGGGCAACACTAGTGGAAAAACAAAACTCGTGTCTGTATGTGTGGACTGTAATTAGCATGTAACATCACTGAAATTATGTAAAAATTAGGATATTCGTTTTCCTGCTAGGTGCTAGGGCGCCAGATCTTCTGGACAATGTTCTAGGTAAATGTATTATTACTAGGTTCGAAGTGTCAATTTACTGCGCAGTTCCCCAAGTATTTGTATCATGGCTTGCGCTGAAATCAAGGCTTGTCAAATTGAGTTACGTTGCAGTAACCAAGGTAAATGTATTATCATCGTTGTCAAATTGAGTTCCGTTGCAGTAACCAAGGTTTGTGCTGAAATTGCAATTGCAAACTTCTTTTCTCCATCTTTATTTACTGCTGAACGATCGTTTCACTGTGATGAAACAAGCAACTTCATATTTGCTACCTGTTCTCAACATAATTGCGTGTAGAGAGAGTAACAAATGGCAGTGTTCCAGCTCGTTCAAGGTTCATACAATCCATTTAAGACGTCGAAGGCAGGGGACTACAGGAAGTTGCAAGAAAAAGGATTAGCAGAGTAATTGGAGACGAAGTTTAGAAGCATATAAATAAATAGAAAACGCATGGCATTAGTTAAGATAACGAGTTATCTGACGCTTTAGACAAGATAGTTGTCGATGCATGTCTGCATCAAGAAATTAATGGGCACAAAGAGGCAATCAATGGAACATCTGACCACAACTCTTGTATTTTAAAGGCGCAAGTTTTGTTTGCAAGAGACATCTCACTGCTCTGTGCGTTAGCTGCTCTTGACACCAGCAACAAGGCAAATATGTGTAAAATATGACCAATCTGAACCAAACTTTGGATAAACAAATTACTAGGTAGTAAGTTCTGTCATTCCAACACCACCCCAACAAAACCTCACAGGCTCACACTGCTAGAGGTGGCATTATCAGAACACTAACGTGAACACTAGAACTCTACACTAATACACATAAATTGCTGTGGTCCCAAAAAATGAATTCGAGCTCATCTGGGAACCAACTGATAAACGTATACTGCTGAGAGGGCGCATAATGAGATGGGCAAAATAAGTGAAACAAACTCTAGAAAGTGATCGGGCAGCTTGTTGCATTTGGAAATAAGGGAACAAACATATGCCTCAGTAAATAAGTTTCCACCCGACTGCAACTGTTCTCTAAGCAAAATATACCCTTATTAACTTAAACTGCCATAGATTATTTGTAAACCGTAGATGACGATTTATTAGCAATTTTCTCAAAAATGAAAGATAACAGGTGATGCAAATCTTCATAATCAAAATGCTATATTACCTCATCCAATGCTGTTGTCAAATCATAGGCCTTCCCCATCCCCTAAAATTGGGCAAAGAAGTCCTGCAAGGTCCAACACAGTATTTAGAACAAGCAAACTAACATAGGAGCCAAATACCATATCGAACTCGGTGCTGGAGCCAAATACCCAAGCACATCAATTGTGTACATACAGAAAAATTGTATCATAATATCATGTCTACAGGTCACATGCATCATTTCAAAAGGAATTTAGTGTCGATGGTGACAAGTCAGATTCTCAAAATAATCTGTTTAACCTGTAGCAATTTTCCTGTAGATGGGGTCTTTATCCTGATAGTAAATGACATAAGAGAATCTCATCAAAAAAAAAAAATCTCAATTCAGATTGATCACTATAAGCAATAATAATTCCTATTACCTTCAGTCAGTGACTCTATTGAGCCATTAAGTGCATAGCATTACAGAATACCACAAATCAATAAATCAAGTTCAATTTGATTGACCCCTTGCTGTGCCCCCTTCATGTCTAATTCTCGAATATTATGTATTTCTAGTTTACCACTGGAGAGATTTAAAAACCAAATTCATTTGTATAGTTTGACAATTGTCGAGCAAGAAAGTGCACATCATCAAAATCCAGTGGTGCATATGAACTATCAGTAAAAACTAAACAATAGGGCTGGACTACAGTTCAAAGAGGATTAGTAGAGTAGCTGGAGACCAAGTTTAGAGGCATATAAATAAATAGAAAACGCATGGCATTAGTTGGTAAGACAATGAGTAAACTGACGCTTTAGACAAGATAGTTGTCGATGCATGTCTGCATCAAGAAATGGGCATTAAGAGGCAATCAATGGAATATCTGACCACAACTCTCTTGTATTTTAAATGCTAGTTTTGTTTGCAAGACACGTCTCACTGTTCTGTGCGTTAACTGCTCTTGACACCAGCAACAAGGCAAAGATGTGTAAAATATGACCAATCTGAACCAAACTTTGGATAAATAAATTACTAGGTAGTAAGTTCTGTTATTCCAACACCACCCCAACAAAACCTAACACTGCTAGAGGTGGCATTATCAGAACACTAACGTGAACACTAGAACTATACACTAATAATACACATAAATTGCTGTGGGCCAAAAAATAATGAATTCGAGCTTGTCTGGGAACCAACCGATAAATGTATACTGCTGAGAGCTTGCATAATGAGATGTGCACCCACCCACAAACGGAGAGGAGGAAATAAGTGAAACAAACTCTAGAAAGTGATCAGGCAGCCTGTTGCATTTGGAAATAAGGAAACATACATATGCCCCAGTAGATAAGTTTCCACCCAACTGAAACTGTTCTTTAAGCAAAATATACCTTATCAACTAAAACTGCCATATATTATTTGTAAATCGTAGCTGACAATTTATTAGCAATATAAAAAATGAAAGATAACAGGTGATGCAAATCTTCATAATCAAAATGCAATATTACCTCATCCAATGCTGTTGTCAAATCGTAGGCCTTCCCCATCCCCTAAAATTAGGAAAAGAAGTCCTGCAAGGTCCAAAACAGTATTTAGATCAAGCAAATTAACATAGGGGCCAAATACCATATCGAACTCAGTGCTGGAGAAAGGTCATCTTCCCAGTCGGAAGGTGACATATAGTCAAAAAAAAAAAAAAGTCGGAAGGTGACATACCCAGTTCGGCTGGAGGGTTCTTGAGGAAAGTGAATGAAAAACATTGTTCCGGATGAAATGTTGTGAAAGAAAAACACTGTTTCGGATAAAAAAACAAACGGATCAAGCCGGGTTCAAAGGCATACATCCAAGCACATCAATTGCGTACATACTGTGTACATATTTTGGTTGCTAAATATATTCAAACTATGAATGCATCTTTATTATTAGTTACCTGCGATCGATCTATCATTCTTTGTTGAACCCTGCTAAGCCCTAGGCATGTTGCAAGTAACCACTGCCTAATAGTTACTGGCAGCTGTTCGTTGTTACCGGGCATGCGCGCAAGAGCAACGTGGGCGCAGCGTAAGCGCGCCTACCGTGCTAGTACCCTATTTAAAGAAAGGTAAGAAGAAAAATGTTGATAGTTTGTGGTACATCTAGTGCAGACGTTGCCTCTCCTAAAACTTCCAATAACCAAAATGATGAGAATCATAATTTATTTTTTAGAAGGAAAAGAGTATAATCCCAAATCCGTATTGGACATACTCCCTCTGTTCCACAAAAAATGTCATGTTGTGACTAGTGTTTGAATAAGTAATGGAGACACAGATGATTTCCCGATTTGAATAGGACTATATCAAGGGTCGGTTTTGAGCCCTTATCTGTTTGCCTTAGAGATGGATGAGGTCACAGGGGACATATAAGGGGACATCTCTTGGTGTATGCTTTTCGCGGACGATGTAGTGCTAGTTGATGAAAGCCGGACAGGAGTGAATCAGAAACTGAAGTTATGGCGGAAGACTTTGGAGTCCAAAGGTTTTAGACTCAGTAGAACTAAAACTGAGTATATGAGATGTAACTTCGACACTACTACTCGGAAGGAAAAAGATATTAGTTTAGAATGTCTAGTAGTGCCTAGGAAGGATACCTTTCGATATTTAGAATCAATGCTACAGAGAGACGAGAATATTGATGAAAATGTTAGCCATAAAATCAAAGCAGGATGGATGAAGTGGCGCCAAGCATCTGGTGTCATATATGACAAAAGGGTACCACAGAAGCTAAAAGGCAAGTTTTATAGGACGACGATTAGACCTGCTATGTTGTATGGTGCAGAATGTTAGCCTACGAAAAGACAACATATTCAACAGATAAGTGTCGCGAAAATGCGTATGTTGCGTTGGATTTGCGGTCATAGAAGAAGGGATCGAGTTTTGAACGATGATATACGTGATAGATTAGGGTAGCACCAATTGAAGAAAAGCTTGTCCAACACCGGTTGAGATGGTTTGGACATATCTAATGGAGGCGTCCAGAGGCACCGGTGCGTAGTGGAATCCTAAGCCAGGATAGTAACGTGAAGATAGGCAGAGGAAGACCGAAGTTGACTTGAATAGATGCAATAAAAGGAGACTTGAAAGGATGGAATATACTTAAAGACTTAGCCTTAGATAGGAGTGCTTGGAAAAGAGCTATTCACGTGTTTGAACCTTGATGGCTTCTGCTGGGTTTTAGCTCTAGCCTACCCCAACTTGTTTGGGACTTAAAGGCTTTGTTGTTGTTGTTGTTGTTGTTTTTTGTTGTTTTCAAGAAGTCAATCATTTTTTAACTTTGATTGAATATATAAAAAAAATATTAATATTTATAGTGCATAATTATATTAATCGTTGAATATATTTTTATAATAAAATTATTTAAAGATATAAATGTTGCTAATACTTTTTACAAATGTTGCTAATACTTTTACAAACCTAATCAAACTTAAGAAAGTTTGACCAGCACGTATCTCATAGCGATATTTTTTTAGGGATGGAGATGGTATACCCTATTCTTCCTCATGACGATAAAAATGGAATAATGGAACATTTCCACCATGGTGTAGTTTTTTTTGGCGATTTATATAAGTACAAACGTAGACGTTACCCCTATGAGCACCTCAAAAAAAACTATGGTGGCACATATCGAGATTGATGAAGTCACCACAGACGTCTTGCTGTCGACGAGAGCGTCGCCTACCACTGAAAGCACAAAGCCGATAAATCCTGGAATAAATCCAGGAAATACGAGCACCCTTGTCAAGTCGAGGACTTAAACCTAGATAGACAGATTCTACTATAAAAAACCTAATCAACTGAGCTAGGTTCAATTAGCCACCATGGTGTAGTTGATTAGACAAAGTGCTCGCAATAGCTAGCCTCTGCGGCCATGACAGCTCGTTGAGGCAACCTTCCCAACTCTCCATCACACAAGTCAAGCTAGGTGTACGTCTCTTTAATACACATTGTAATTTGCTATGAAATTTTGATTTCACATACCTTTTATGCATCCATTAGTATAGTTGCCTCACAAATATTTTCTGGCTCTGTACCACAACCTCCGACCCGTCTGGCCATCCGGGATCTAGTGTCGATGTGTGGATATGTGGCTTCCTTGGCTGCACCAAGGATGGTTAGCAGTTCAAGAAATCATTCTCCGAAAAAGTCTACATAACTCCCCAATTATTCAACTATAAAACCAGATTTTCTATCCCTTGAACTTTTCAAAACCGGTCAAATAACCCCTAAGCGGTTTTAAACGATGGTTTTGCT